CCCCAAAACCCCAAAACCCCAAAACCCCAAAACCCCAAAACCCCAACTCTTCTGATAAAAATTGAAAAATAAAATCTAATTTTATATCATAGCAAAATGGAAAGTATGGGTGCAGCTATCGCTGAAAGTAACACCAAAATTATCGGGTAAACAAAAGCTTAGTTCTAAAGGGATATGAATGTTCCCCCTCATTTCGTGTTAATTTCCAGATGTTAACATTTCAACAAAGATTTATCCACTTCTAAAATAATTACATTGCAAATTTTTGACCAAGAAATTCTAGTAAAGCTAATAAAAGTTTGGCTGCCTTATATCTCAAAAATCTGCTAGCGATCTCAAAAGAGTGTGGTTCCTGTAAAACCTTGTACTTCTCAATTGCTCCTTTGCTACTAAATTTATTGATTTAACTATAACTTTTTTCTGCCAAATTTGGCACAGATTGAAACCATCTTGCTCATCTCAGATTTTAGCTGTGAAAAGGTTCTCCTAGAAGAGACCAAAGAACGAGATTGTGGGGCATGCTCAAGTATTTTCTATAAACTATCTCTAAGAGACATACAAATCAAGTACTTGGGTTCTGGCTCTGAAGAGGACCCACCGAGTGGCCACCTTTCTTTAAATTTCAAAGATGCTAAATGCGAAACACTAGCAAGGAGTCTAAAATACCAAAAGTTTTGTGATATAAATGAGATTGGGCTATATGTGACCAAGAGCAAAACTAAACGTGTTGTGGACTTCTTAGAACTCTCATTTCCAAGTAAAATTAATTGTCTGTATATTCGCTCCTGGAATCAAACCGATCTGAATAAATCTAATTATTTCAGACTGTTGATCAGTCTCGGTTCAAGAGTCGCTCATGAGGCATCTTTTCGCTCTTTCTACATTAGTCTTCGTGGACTAAAGAAGCTAATAGCAGCTTATAGGCATATAAGAGTACTGTGATTATCAGCTTGCAAGTTGTCAATTCCAAATGTTCCTAATTTTTCAAAGGCTCTGACAAATTGCCAGATCCAAGAAATAAAGCTATCATATTCAGGAAACTCATATTCAAGCGATTGGAAGAACAACCTCTACCAGTTCAAGAACTTGATATGAGGGCTGGCAGGTTCTCCAGATCTGAGATCGAGTCTTAAAGAGGTCAATATTCATCGATGCTGAATAAGCCAAAATGAAGCAGAGGAAATTTTTGTAGAAAACCAACTTGGAGAAGTTAAAATAATTGATGGAAATTAAATTACAATTAAATCCTCCAGCTTTTGGGGTTTTGGGGTTTTGGGGTTTTGGGG